TGGCAAGCTCTTGTTTTCTAATGGTAGTTACGACTCCTGGGCTGTGAGGATGGGTGAGATGAAAATCGAACCAGATATAAAGATCGAAAGCATGGATGAGGACTATGAGTATCTTCCATCAGACCCAGATTCAATCCAACCTTTCCAGGTAGCCCGTGTAGGACATTATAGTATAACAGGCGATGGTGGATGTGACATGTTCGTCTTTCTCTCTTTCAACAAGGATGATGGAGGCTTTTTGATCCCTGTGCAAATCAAGATGCGAAGCAGTGAAAACATGAAAATCTATGATCCTAATAATGTTTACGAGGAAGGATACAAGACACTTAATCACTACTTGACTGATTTTGATAATCTCTTATCCCGTATGATCTTTGACAAGAATGAAAACAATTGGACCACTCGATATGGAATCTATGTCGTAAACTCTAATGTGCATGTCCCCGAGCGATATCCACATACAAAAAATGTGATCATGGTATTACATGATTTTGAGATAACCGTTGATAACATTAGAGAATTTTTCAACCGTATTCGTGCAAAAAACCATAACCGAGAAGCGCAGAACATTAGATGCGGATATTCTGCTACCGATACGATGATCGACAAGACAGAAAGATTAATTCTAGTAACACAAACTGATATAATGGAAAGATTGTTACGTGAATGCGATGATGAAAAAACCTGGTTAGAAAAAAAGAACATGTTGATTAGAGTTATGCGAGACACCATTAATGAGATTAGAGTAAGCATCAATGATAACCAAGATGATCGTTCAACTTCCAGATATGAACGAGAATATGAAACACGCATGCAGAAATATGATTTAAGCAATACTAAACATGTGACCAAAACAAATACACTTGAAAACTCCAAGAAAAAAGATGCATTCGATATGAAAGATTTGGTAAAATCTCTTGAATCATCGAGAGAAACAGAAAAAGAATTTGATATGTTAAGATTGTTAAGATCGATTAATAATAAATGATTTATTAAATTTTAATAAAATACAAAATAAAATTAATTGGGTTCTTTTTTAATTCTCTTGTTGCTATCATTTTTATTCTCTTCTGTTTGATTCTTATTTTCGTTTGGGGGTGGGGTCAGATTGATCGATGCAAACAATTTTGATAATTCTATGATCTTTTGCCCAATAGCCTCAACATCATGAGGCACGGTCATCTTGTTACCATACTCTCTTGCGAATTGCCCAGCAAGCATGTTCACCGTATCATTGATAAGAGACATATTCACGATTTCCTCAACTTCAGCTGTAGTTTTTCCCATTTGTGTTGCGATCTCAGGATATTTTTCAAGATCCTTCTTGATGGTGTTCCAACCTTTTGTCATGTAAGATGGTTGCATGATGGTTGCATGATTATTTCTAGAGGACTTCTCAGTTATATCTGCGGTAGAACTTTCTGGAAACTCGATCATCGATCTTGTGCTCTTCACAAGATCTCTGATCGATGCTTTTGGATTCTCATCGGTGATTCGGATGACTGTTGTACCATACTTCAGAATATCTCCAACTCGTTCCTTGGTGATATTCTTCTCGTTGAAAAAGAGAAACTGAAATGTGTGTTTGTGAAGCACCTTTATAGATTTTTTGCTAGAGTCAGAGAAGAGCGCCTTGTTGTAATTCACGACAAGAAGCTCTTCTTTGGATGCTTTAGACCGATCTGTGATCAGACCTCTCTCGCATAAAGATGTGATCATTCTCGATTCATGATCACGTTCAACACGCGTAGAAAGATCTTTAACAATTCCCGTGATTGTGCAAATATCATTCACATGTTTCTCTTCGAAGGTAGCACGGTTTATGATTATGTATTCATACGTGACAACTTCTTTTTTAGTGGTCTTGTACTGCACCCACAACTCTGCATCTGCAGGTGCTTTTGTTTTCGCAGGTTCAAAATTTAACACGGAATTAAAAAAGTTAATTTTGGCCAACTCGTCATCAGTAAGTTTGTTTTGTTTGAAATTCATTTTGTCTGTTGGATAAATCAGATGGTCAGATTTATGAGTCGCATCATGACACGAGTTCTTTATATATTTACATGACCAAAACTTGTGTAACTTTTTAGAATTCTATATATTTTACCCTTTATTCTGATACGATTCAGAAATGGCACAAGAAAATAAGGACCAACCGCTGGCAAGTGTTAATGCTAATCTACCTGTGATCAAAAAACGTGAACTAAAATGGGACTCAAAAAGCAACGAGGAGGGTCTGTTAGAACTTGCGAATCATCTTTTTGGGATTCAAGCAACCGAGAATGAAGATGGGTTCATGGATATCAATTACAATGACAACTATAATGATGAAGAGATCAAGGTCTTTATGAAAGTTTTGAAGAGTCTTGTTGAGCATGGAGAATCGAGAAAGATACAACACATGAATATGGTTAGGGATGGAAAGATCATACAGAGCGATGAAAAGGCCAGCTCTTTTTGCTCCGGTCTCACCCACATGAACAAGTATGCATATCCAACATTTTCAAAAAAATATACAGACTGGTTAGTTCGCAAGAAGAATGACAAGATGTTTGAAGAGCGAATTCAGAAGATAGCCATAGAGAATGAAAAACTAAAACGCAAGCTTAGGGAGAAAGAAAAAAACAAACCTGCAAGAGAAAATAATAATCTATCTAGTGGTAGCAGTTCAGATGCTAGTGATAGTGAAACCGGTAAAAAAAAACTAAAGAAAAAACATGATAATGTTAACTCGTGATTTTTTAGCTTGCATTTTGCTAGTAAATAAAAATTTATCATATATGTGATATTTGATATAAATAATCTACATGCGATACTTTCTTAAATTTAATCTACCAAATAATGAGTTGTAATTTCTTTGAATGCATTCCCACAAAACATGGATTGTTGTGTTTTAAACACTCTAAACTTAAAGGTAAGACAGGGTTTGAACTCGGAGATGTATTTGTGATTGGTGATATCATGGATGAGGTTGATTTTGTCACAGAACTTTACGTGCTCCGTGCACAAGTAACGAACAAGTCATATGGTATATCGACCTGGGTACGATTCACAAACTTTGAGGTATTCTTTGATGTTCTTGTACCATTGACACATCCAAATCCCAATGCGTATTGCCAGATTCTCATTAACATGCTAGAATACACAAATGCAAAACATCCAAATGGATCATGGGTAAAATGTACAAGCTTGATAAAGGATTACCCACTTGTCAAACGAAATGATGGTAATACCTACCTGCGAATTCGATTCACAGATCATACCAAAAGACGATCTGTGATCCAGGCTATGCGTCAGAATAAGTTTCAATCATATAACATGTTCGAGGATTCGATAAGTGGCAAGTACGGGCAATTTATCACACAAAGCAGAATTTACACAAGCGAAACAGAGGATTGTTTCCACATCTCTGGATTCTTCAAGCTTAAAGATGAGACTCGTGTTTTCTCAATTGATGAATTTCAGAACTGTTTAGATTATGATAAGGATGTTGTTTTCTTGCGTGATGAATTCTTTTGCAAGGAACTA